CCGATGTAACCATGTAGTTTCATTCTCTGTTACGCGCACGGCCCAAATTTAAAAGGAAAAAAATTGCACTCTCGCCTCAACGTCAGCGAAGATTATGGGCTCGAAATTTTACGGTGGTTTACTGTAGTAGAAAGGTAGTTTTTTACGTGTTAATAAAATTATTGTAGCTTGATATCCCCGAACCCACAATATGATTATAAAAGACGCTGAAGTTTAGGGGTCTCAAAATTTGGACCATTTAGGGTTATTTAACATGCACCTAAATCTAAGGTCACCAGTCTTAAGCATATTAACTCGATATCAATGTGGCGGCCACGTTCTGGCATCGATTCCGCGGTTTTCGGGTCAGCAGGCCAGCACCATACCCACCATACCACCAAGGTTGTTATTATCAATTTAACAGGGTGTTTTTATGATGCGGCAAAGTGGACCACAATTAACTTCGCACGCATCCATTGCACGTCATCTTGGAACAATTTCTCTGCAGTTTCGCGATGAAAAGAGGCGACATCTTCATGAAAGCGTAATAGTAAGGTAGAAAAAAAGTGTGGTCGTTGTAAAAAGCTTTTTGCAAATGTAATCATGTGTTCTACGGCCGACTAGGTGCACTTTCGTAGATGCTTTAGAAGGCAGCACTATCCAAGCCATCGCCGCTCAAGGTATTTTACGGGCTTATAGGACAATTCGAACTGGCTTAATCTTGTGTGGTTTCCTGTGAGTGTGATTGGTTTTATGGGCGGTTATCACTTTCTTTCTGAAAAAAAAGGAAGGTAGGGAGGCGCTGAAGTTCTAGAAGTGTCATACACTCTTTATGTCGCTGCTTCCAAGAATTTTGGTACGTCAAGGGACGAAAAAAAAATAAAAAGCAGCATTGATGGCGGCTCATAAACGCGTACTAAGTGCTTTTAAAGGTTTCATTCGCAGCTCTTAGCCAGCGTTTATGTCAAAGTGTCGGAAGGTACGAGACTCCAGCGTATACACAACAACAAACTACAAAACTCTAAAGTTGCTTTCTTGAATGGCAGTCATGTTGCCACCAATGTTTTATTGAAACGACCTGATGTTTTCCTAGGATAGAGCCGACAGTTGACTCATCACTTTTTTGTTTATTTTATTGTGGGAAAGTGAAACCAGAGTGCGAACAATGGAAATAACCTCCTTCTGTGAATCCCATTTTAAGGACATGCTCGGCATCCAAGAAAAAAAAATGCAGAGCTGTTTCCACGAACGTTACAAAACTAACACCTCTCCATTCACATTTAATACTCAACTAGCCGTTCCGAATGTTGTGTTTTGATATTTAGGTACGAGTTTTTAAAGAAGCAGTAAAAGGAGATTTTCTTGCTTTTATTTTTTTTTTCACTGAGCCTTAGCTTGTGGCTGGTGCAGCGTAATACTGCTTCTTTCTTAGCACGAACTACGCAACAACGTGTTAACTAACTCGCAGAACTAGTCTGTTTTTTTAGTATTTTTATAATTTTTATGCATTTGAATCAGCGTAATAATACTCCAAACGTTTTTCCAACGGCAGCTCCATGGCAGCTGTAGACGAGGCAAAGAATATGCTTTATTGATATGTTAATTGGCATTCGCTTAAGAAATAAGCTTCAAGATGCAGGTGATCTCTGATTAATACCTGAACTACATAGTACATAAAACGCCAGAGATTATGGAAGCCCATTCGTACTGACCGAAGTCGACAGTTCTCGCTGTGCGCCCCCCCCCCCCTTTATTTTTGGTACTCTAAAATTAACGGTAAGAGTTAAAGAAAAGAACACGATCAAAGCTTTTGAAGCGGAGTGGTGACAATCAGTCTACCTCGTCTGTTCATTACAGTCATGTACTACTGCATATATCCTAGAATCACGGCTACCTCTTTCTTTTTTTTTCTCGCAATCATCTGTATTTATAAAGCGCTGTTATTCATGCCTGCAACGACTCCCGTCATATTAACGTCGTCCCTGTTTTTTTTTGGCGATTTTCAAACTGTATCTCACTTACATTCAAAGCTGACCATTTGAAAGTTTCATCCACATTTGGAACCACCCTCATCGAAAGCAGTCCACTCTGAAAGGTGTGCGCCTTCCGAGGATGCTGGTGGAGGATTTTTCAAGCATTTCTTTCTAATATGTTAAGCAATGCATGCATTTTGTCAGCACGCGTGTGCGCACATGCCTATTCCGGTTATAGATGTTTATTCTGGTATATTTCTTATCCCTGGCAGATAGCTTGGGCTTCAAATACCAAGGCTTTGCGTTTTGTGCTGTTGTACATACATAATTTCTTTCACATTTCTTGTTTGATGACATATTTTGTGCCACGCCACCTTGCCCGAATTGACGAACCATCAGCGACAAATTTATTGATGGGAAGTTGCAAATGAACTAGAACTAGCCAAGTAGTGCTGTGTTATCAGCTATTTCAATGTCTTGTTTTTCAGCCCTTGTACTTGGTAGCAAACCTGTTCTCCTACCAGGTTAACTTACCTGTCTTTTGCTTTTATGTAATTTTTCTCTCCCTCCTGTTATTCTGAGCACTTAGCTATTGTTTTGACGAGTGACAGCGCACATGATGAGGTTTATGACTTTTTCAAGCTGGTTAATGTGACCATGTTTTGAAAACGAGGACCGCGTTTGAAAAAAATTCACTCAGAACCAGTTTGCACTAACTGGGATGTCATTTTGACGTCAATGAGACATAGAGTTGACTGATAAATCAACTAGTCGAACTATTTTTTTGTTCCAAGCACTCATGCTATCTCAGTCGTTCTTACCCATCTTACCCTCTCAGGTAGGAACCTACCGGTTGACTTCGGTGGAAGACATACCAGGAAAACAAATTCAAGAAGAGAATGGCACAAAAGACTCAATCATAGAAAAAAATATATTTATTTAGATAACAGTCTCGAATAAAAAGGGTGTGTTACAGTATGCAGCCAAATATTTACAAAGTATATACACAAGCCGAAGTGACGACGGAAAGTACAAGAAAGAACGTTTTCAATGAAACATTTTGGGAGAACTGTGTGAAACTCAACTGTGCGATTTCGGAATACTTGTCACAGAAACATATGCTTGCAAGTAAGTAAAACTATGCGCTATGAAATGCCTCTTGTCTTCATTTTGTTTTCTCCTCCCGGCGCCAAAGCTTGACGAACACCACGCAACGACGGACAATATAGTCTGTCCCCATTTTCAAAATAAAATTAAATTTACGAAAACAAAACAAAAGGAAACATGGCATGCGTCACTGTCAGACTAAGAGCTGTTCAAAAACTATGAAAAGAGGAATTGTCAAATTTATCCTAGCTCTGTGAGTAAACGATCACAACGAAGAAAAAAAACAAGTGACTTCAACTACGTGAGTGCTCTTCGCTTCAGATGACACTAACTGTATCCAAAATATTTAATACTACTAACACTATAATCTGAAGTATGTATAAGCTGAAATATACTAAGGCTATAAGCTGAACTAAGTAGGCATTTCTGGTGAAGCTGCCAATTTTACAGTGCGAGAAGTAACAAGTGTAAGCTTGGCTTCGCATTCGCTTCACCATCGACAAAGCTTTCTAGATTATAAATCAAATCTTTTCGCGCTGTTCACGTGACGGGTTGAGATCTAGTAACATGTCGAGAAAAAACAAGAAAAAAAATCAAGGACGGAAACGAATGCGAAGCAAACGTAATAAAAAGTCTGCTAGTTCGGCGCGTGAAACTATTGCCATAGTTTTATCGAATGCTTACAAATCACAGATGGACTTCCCGTTTGTCTCGAGGTCACTCAATGTCTGCTGTTTTATACATTCACCTAAGCTTGATCGCAAGGATGATGAAAAACCTGTTATGTCTGAGCTCTCTCCTCGGCACATATGTACATGGGTGCATAGATAGCTCGCACTGACGTCACTGAAACCACCATGTTGGTTAGCCACATGGCCCACGCAAGGGTTGTGACGTCACGCGAAAATGTTATCGTATACATAGAGTTTCTAAAATGAACTAGAGGGGACGGTGGCGCTGCGATCGTTCAGCGACCAGGGGAATGATGGGTAGTACACAAATTTGCCTCGTCTCCGTACTTGCGTGCGCCGAGTCGCACTAGTGGCTTCGTTTATTGCTGTATTTCGATTTCGTTTCGAAGAAAAGAACGAACCCTTTTGATTTTCGTGACCCGCTTTGAAATGGTAAGCCTAAAAAATTTGGCTAGTGAAGCGCAACTGCTGAACATTTGTTCATTTTTGTTTCGCTAGAAACAGCTTCAAGCCACATGAACACACATAAAGCCGGAAGTACGAAGATTAGACAAATCCGTGTACTACCCATTATTCGCATGCTCGCTGAAGCGCGGTGCGTTGTAGCTACCATAGACACTAGCGCCATAGCTTCCTCTATTGTAAATTTAGGAAACTCTATGATCGTATATCATTCTCAAGTTCTGTAGTTATTGACACATACAGAGGTCAATAACATTTTGGCCACATCATTATGGAATCGAAGCAAGTAAAGAATGATGTTATTATGCTGCCTCGACGTCACAATGGCCACCATGTTTCTGAACTAGTACGTTATGCAGCTGTGACCTTGACGTCACGTGCAAGCTATCTATCGCGGAATGACTTATTATATCACGCTCCCTTTCACACTTTCTACATTCTTGAATGCTCATCGCGTTTATATATATATATATATATATATATATATATATATATATATATATATATATATATATATATATATATATATATATATATATATATATATATATATATATATATATGGTTCCTCGCGAGTACACCATCCTTCCGCGCCTTAATAGTTGTGATAGATGCGATATGACCAGACGTCACATGAAATTGACCAGAAAGTTGGCACGACGAAGCTCCGGTATGTGGCGACTATTGAGCCATACGCAGGTGCCATAAAGCAGTATACCGATGTCCAGCTTCACGAATGCCAGCACCTTCTCAATGCTGTAGCTAGTAGTGAAGGAGATTACGAGGGCACATGAGCATGATTTGTCTGTCGCGGTGTACTGATGAATCGTGGGAAATAAAGCAGATGCGCCAAATGAACTATGATATGCATAACCGAGCCTAAGAGGTAGTGGTGCTTTATATACACACGAACAATTACAGTGGTCTTTTGATGATATATCTAGCATATTTAATTTTACAGCATTATCATAATTCAAATCAAAGCACAACTCTTATCCCTGACTCACCAGCTGAGTGCAACAAAGTGGTTGACCACTCGAACGTTCTCTTTTACGTCTTTTGGGCTCTGCTAAGATTCTAGTTTCTCGAATGTCAGTGTCTCCTGCTTGCCAAGCAAGGAATCACAGCGAACTTTTTCTACACATCAATCAAGCAGTACCGCTACCAAACACAAACAAGATTGCTGTGTATTTTGTTTTTTGTTATCGGTTCATTCACAGAAGCGTCTGTACTTAAGCATGACGGAGAAGCATTATACATCGGCTTTCAGTCTTATTATGAGCGGGTATTCAGAAAACACGTTATTTCCCCTGAGTATCCGCAATTATTTTAAACCAGGTTCTCCCGTGACAGAAGCACAACAGCTTAACTAATGCAAAATTATTCTCAACCTTTAGCATTAATTTAAAATTGAGAAAAGTAAAGGCCTCGAATGGATTGTCTCCAACGGGGTACAAAAATGGTAATGAATTCAGAAATAGCAAAGCCGCCAGAGTCACAAACGGCAAGCATTAAAATGTGGCTGCCAACGCACCAGATTTTTTTTTCGACGTATACGACAATAGACATAAGCGCCTTTGGTCGCTTGCACCGAACTAAACAGAGACGATAAGTAAGGCTTAGCACTGGCGTTTCACTGTTGCAGGCAGCCAGTGTAGGACAAAAGTACCCAAAACACGAGGACGTACATAGGCTAGTCGTTGTGAAAGCTGGCTCAATCAGTCTCGCTGGGAAAGGTGACAGCGTTCACACCAGCGTGGCCGGACGACGCCGCTGCCTGCTTTACGAGGCAGCTGGAGCATTTCAAAGAGCTGACTTTTTTCTTACGCGCTCAAAAACAAGAGAAAAAGAAATATTTAGAGGCGGCACTTGGTCTCGGTGATAATGTAACGCTGTGCAGAGCTGACGGTGACGCAGACCTGTTCCCGGCCGTGTTCGCCGTGCGAAACTTCGCTCGTGGCATCCTTCTGCGAGTTCCCTGCCTGGATCCTGCGAGTCGCGGGTGCCAGCAGCAGTTTTTCCAGTGACGCAACAGGGGCTTCGCACACCAGGTACAGCAGATAAGCCATCAGGAATGACATCGTCAGGCATCCAAAGAAGTCTTTTACCTGCGTGTTGGGCCAGGAAGGTGAAGCACACATTCAATGACGTGTTCCATATGGTAACTGATCTTTCGACACCCTTGTCCACACCACAACCGTAATCTGAAACCCTCGTGAAGATTATAATGAAATAACGTAATGGCTTAGTTCATACGCATTGATAAGATGCTGTAACGCATGCAGATTACAGAAATGCCGGATAGGTCTTGGTTCAGAGTTACGGATTTATAAGCATCAGAATTTCAGCCGCGAAATCAAAATTTTGATATCTACAAGCGTTAAAGTTTAATTAGATCGTTTCGCTGGTGCAGATAAGAATGACAGTGTTTTCTTTCGAGAAATTTTTCAATAGTTAAGAAATGAGCCTCACAAGAGAACGTTTCAGATTCAATATATCTGAGAACCTCTTGACTCCTCGTAAGGCGCTGGACACCTTTTCGCTTGGAATACGTGGGAATGCTTTTACAAGAGAGCGTTTTCAAAATAAATATATCTTAGGACCGCTCTTGACGCCTCGAAGAGGTACTGGGTACCATTCATGCAGTAAATAAAGAAACACTGTGGAAAGAACAGCATCATCGCGCATTGTTGACACACATCTCTTTCTTTTTTTTTTTTTAGAAAGAGAGAAGCAAAACCTCAGACAGTTCAATTTATGTACTCCGTTTTTTAAAGCATCTACCGCTTAAAGCCCCGCAATTTCACAATGAATTGTTGCCCACCGAGGTGTTACACCAAATCAAGTCAAGTCACCGTGTTTGTTTAAATGTCCTTTGGTTCATTAATCAGGAATGTTATATTATACGTATTTTATGAATAATAGCCACCTTAAATGGCCCCTGCATTATTTTTTCAGCTTGGTCAAAAAAAGCTGCCTATCGGTAGTAGAGGCTCCCAGGAACGCGCGAGACAAATAGTACAGCACAACACGCGGCCTGGAATTCAGAATAAATTCTGAAAGTCAACTAAAAATTGTTTTCTCTCGACAAATAACGGAAGAAGCTAGAAAATCACGCACCACAGCCGTTCTATCAGCCATTGGCTGATTTGAACATGGCGCGCGCGGTTGTTACATGAATCGCCGCAGGAGGCCGCGACTGAAAAAACCACGTATTCGAAGAAAAACGAAAGCAGAGAGTACTCAAGGTGAGCAGGCGCGCGTGACGTATTTAATTTGCCCGTACCATCTCTCCCTGCTTATTTTCCAGTGCTTTCGTCGGGACGAGAGAAGATGGATGCAATTACAGCGTGCGAAAAATAATTGTATTGAACAGAGTCTGTACTGAACGGACTGGACAAATCCCTACTGGAGGGATTCAAAAAATTTCTGTAGTGGTGAAATTGTGAGGCAATTTAGCTCTTTTAGTGAATTCATTCCATGGCTACTTGAAAAAATGTCGGAAGGTCCCTTTAACCTATAACATCGTACACAACGAACCTTTCTGTGTAATGTCATATTGGCGTCAAATTAAACACGAATAGCGAAGAGCGTAAACAAATATTAGCAGTGGTTCATTGCGCTCCACCCAGTCACCATTGGCAGCCTACCCACATATGGTTTGCAGCACTGCGTGATCCCCCTGCAGAGCGATATTTTCACTTGTGTTGCAGCTGTGACTGGTGGCCGGCGAGGGTGTCGCGAGAAATTTTGTTCGTCTAATTTTTTAGTTTTTTATTTTCATTTTATTGCGACAGCAATTACTATATGGACACTTGGCTGCTTTTTGCCACCCCGTATCTCTCCCTCCCTCCCTCCATCTCTCTCTCTCTCTCTCTCTTTATATATATATATATATATATATATATATATATATATATATATATATATATATATATATATATATATATATATATATTGTGTGTGTGTGTGTGTTCACCAAGTTCTCATGTTCCTATTTTTCAGCTCACCAGTCGCTCTTCTCGTCTACACGCTGAGTATTTGAAGATCCTTTATACATTACTAAACTACCCATGATTAATGATTACCTCTATTCAGCATTCACATCGCACCCGCAAGACCAAAAGCTACTCGAAATTAGCAAGAGGTAAACGTTAAACATGTCTATTTGTTTTTCATTGTACGGTTGCATTTTATTTTGTTTTTTTGCTCATTTGATAGAATTGTAGAATGCTTGGCCTGGTTATGTACGATGATGATCATTTGATGACTTCTTAATATTTGATATTCAGACTTAGTCATGATGTTTTACGCATATATATATATATATATATATATATATATATATATATATATATATATATATATATATATATATATATATATATATATATATATATATATATATATATATATATATATATATATACATATACAGGGTGTTCCACATAACTTGTGCCAATAATTTGAAAATGAAAGACACTTCAGTGGTGAATGGCGAATTGAGTCAAGCGCCTACTACTCGCACTAGCCTGTAGGTACTCAGGCTCTTTTTATTTCTCCCATACTAATTATTAAATATTTTCATTTACCTACTTTGAATTATTGGCTGGAAACCTAAAATATGAGCACTGAGATGTAGAGCACTTTCAGAAACTACCGACAAAATTGTTTTTTGTACGATACGTTTAGGGCTGTTATTTTTTCCGCGTTGTAAAGAAAGGCTATAGCAACACTATAGCAGTGCGCTCGCGGTCCGTCAGACGGCTTCTTTTCACGTTTCGCGTGCTTTCTTTGCACGCACCAAGCTAACTGGTCACGAAGCATTGTTGCCTCGTAACCTGCACTTTGCTCGGCCCTACGGGGCAAAAAGTAAGTAACGTCTGCTTGTGCTTATCTTTTAATGGGGGAAGTTTGTACTAGAGCATTGCACGGGCCCTTGCCAGCCTGAAAACCTGCGCCCGGGCCAAGAACGGCTCGTGGGCCGGGCCGGGTAAGGCATTGTTGAATCGGTCCCGGACCGGGCTCGGGTTGGGTGGGGGCCTGATTCGTGCCCGTATCAAGCATAGATCTCATTATACAAGGTGTTTCAAGAAATGTGTCCAATATTATTTCTTTAGAATACAAAAAGGAGGCATTTGCATGCTACCTGCGGCGTTCACTTAACTTTGGCAGAAGGCATCTTCAGGTGTGTACAAACAATAAATACGTCAGTAATAAAGAATTAAAACTATTACCCTTTAATACAATTTAAAACAATTAACATATAATTGAGGGTGCTTTCGAAGTGAATGGTGGATTCGCTGTTTAGTGCGTCGAATTCTGTTTCGCCTGCTAGTTAGCGAGATTTCATTGTTTCGCAGTGATTACCAGTGGCCGCCTTTCCAAATTTCAAAGTTGCTATAGACTATTCATAGGAAAAACTTTATTCTATTCAGCTGGCTATTTCCACTGGTGTAAAATATGTTTAAACTTCTGTAATTACTGTCATACTTACTGCGGTGATATCAATAAATCTTCAAAGACGAATAAACTTCACGAAGTAATCACTGCAGAAATTATGCAGTTGTTTTCCTAAGCGTCACCTCCACCAGGAGTAGTCTCCTGGAGTAGGTAGAACCAGGAGTAGGTCTTCTGATTGAATCGGAGCAATTGTGAAAAGTAATATCAATAACTGCGAAGTCTGCTGAGAGTCGAATAACAGACCGCTCATCACCAATAACGCAAAATAGGGTGAACTATCTCCTCTCCAAGCACTATCATCCATCGAGAAGTGAGGCGGACAGTACGCGAGCAGTCATATCTGCGTTCTGCGTCCTGTCTATGAGGAGGAGGATTTCTCTTACTGATCACAACGGATTTTGAAGCTCAATACCAGTGGTGTTGCAGGAACGGCATTCCCGAAGCAAGATAGTACAGTGACAAAGATGGTTCAAACAAGCCACCGATTTCCGAAATGGTCACAATAAAATTGCGCTACCATGCAAGGCCATCAGTGAAGGATCATGACACTGCTGTCATTTCCTTGAAGAAATTAACAGCTGAACCTTCTGTAAGAAGTATTAGGCCACACAAGAAAAAAAAACGAACATGCAGAGAAGGTCGCCTCTCATAAAACGTAAGAAGTAATCTGCGTGCGACAAGAACCCCATCTGTGTTTGACGCCTCTTCGAATGGAGCAGAAGAGTACCGCTTAATATCCAACTTGACGAGGGAGTTGAAGGCAAAAACAATCTTGGTGTCAGCTGCTCTCCCCTCGACAACGCGACAACTTCAGAAGACGGCAACTGGCCTAAATGTCTGCCGCAATTTCAGTACTATGCACACCTCAATTCGAGTGACAAGCATTGCCCCGCCGCGGTGGTCTAGTGGCTAAGGTACTCGGCTGCTGACCCGCAGGTCGCGGGCTTAAATCCCGGCTGCGGCGGCTGCATTTCCGATGGAGGCGGAAATGTTGTAGGCTCGTGTGCTCAGATTTGGGTGCACGTTAAAGAACCCCAGGTGGTCGAAATTTCCGGAGCTCTCCACTACGACGTCTCTCATAACCAGATAGTGGTTTTGGGACGTTAAACCCGACATATCTATCAATCAGTGACAAGCGTTGACGCCGTCGCCATGGTGGCCTTCACGGCCCTCTCACTGAGCTACGTGAACGGTTTTGGTCGCTAAGACGACACCCACGTGTTAAACAAGTGTGCAGTAATAGTGATGCATGCACGCGACTTTGAGTCAATGCTCGCTCAACAGCTACAGCACCTTTCCAAAAGCCAGTGTGTCCCGATCCAAGCTGCTTCAAGTAAACAGTATCGACAATGCTGTGCCTGTGACTGCCGTGTGAGATCTACCGTGAACACGTATATTGTCATCATTAAACGTGAGGCAGTTAGAGCAGTGCACATATAACAATTGGCATTGAGGCTAACGCATTTTTGAAGGCTTTCCATCCTCCCATCACGAAGAGTTTCACATTCCGATACGGAGGTAACGCTCAAGACAGATATATATTCGTAAATTGAAGCCGAGATTTTTGAGAGACAATATTTTAGGACTTTTCTACACTCGTGGAAATAACGTGAAAATTGTAGCTGAGCGTTTCTTCTTGAGGTGAAGATTTGTGTAAGGATGATAAGAACTGTAAAAGGCTAACTACGGAGAAAATTAGGGAAATGATAGGGAAAATGTCGGGGTGGAGGATGTAGGAAACTGCGTGCTACACGTTCTGAAGAGCAGAAAGGTAGTGGGGTAAAGGCTTGTTTTTTCTTGTACTGTTCGAATGTACGCCATGTTGTAGACGGCACTGCGCTGAGCACCAATAAAAGCTCCGGAGATATCTTCCCACAAAGACATAACACTTGCAAAGATCGAAGGCTGCCACAAAAAAGACGACGAGGTAGGTATCTTCAGGGAACAATGAGGATGGTTGCTTGCTTGCTAATGGAGGTGGGTGGCTTTGACAGATTATGGAAGTGTACTGGTGGCAACATTGGCAAGAAGGGTGCGTCAAATAACCTGCTTCTTTTGAACGCGAAAACATAGTGTAGGTTGTAGAAGCCGAGGAGTCCTTAAGAACGATTTGATTTATGTAACGCTGCCAAGCCTGGTATATTCCTTTAATAAGTAGTTAGAGCGTTTTTATTGCGTATCGTAATAAATGACGTTTGCAGGAAACCTGTTACCTTAACTCAACAGCCCAGGCTCGCATGCAATTTATGTAGACTCAAATTATAAATGGATGTATGGAGGAACATTGAATTTCTATGAAACGCAACTTCGAACTATAAATGTCTGCCATTTTTTCTACTTCAAGGGGGCATTATACTTCGTAGTCATTCTTCGAAAGACAAAAATAAGATTGTGTTGTTAGCACTACGTACACGAGGCAGCCAAATATGACAATCATACTTTGTAGTGCCTTGAAATTATTTCGCAAAAGTGTTACGGGCACAATTACCCGAGAGTACAGAGTTTACTAGTCAAAATTGTGAAACAGAAAGAAGTTCCAAAACACTCACTAGAAAATATTGTTACGTGTGAGGAAGAATCCTTCACAACAACCGAAGAGTGTGCAGTGCCTCTCGATAATGTTGAATTCTGGCTGAAATGGGCCGGGCCGGGCCCAGACCATTCGGGCCCGGGCCGGGTATGGGCCGCATTTAAAAACACCGGGCCGGGCTCTAGAGGGCCGTCACATGAAGTTGTCGGGCCAGGCCGGGTTGGGCCGAAATAACCGACCCGTGCAGTGCTCTACTTTGTACTTCATCTGCTTTCGCCAGAACGATTTAGTTTAGGTTATAGAGCGCGTAAAGGTCATTTCACTTTCTGCTGAGACCCCGTTAGAAAAAAGCACGCTGTTCAAACACAGTGAAATAACAACTGCGACACTGTTCAGTTCGCGCTCATCTTCTGTATACCTGTGCGTATGTTTCGTGGGTTCTTTGTGTCGAGCTGTGATTGTTGTTAGTACGCGCTCGTCCTATGCGTCTTCCTTTCGTCCGTCCTTCATGCGGGAGCAACACGCAGAAAGTTTCGATCTGGTTGCCGTTTGTCGCGTGACATCCCAATATTTTGATTTCGCAGTCATCGTGCTGAAACTCTGACATTCGACACTTTAAGTTGGGCGCACGTAACGAGCCCACGTACGCAGCACTGCCACAGGAGAGAACTGCGCATGTGCAGCACGTAACATATCTATTCCAGATATGCGCGCGTACGCCCGAAACAAGACGGTGCGTTTGTAACGCAACGCTTACTACGTTACGTTGATTGATTGATTGATATGTGGGGTTTAACGTCCCAAAACCACCATATGATTATGAGAGACGCCGTAGTGGAGGGCTCCGGAAATTTCGACCACCTGGGGTTCTTTAACGTGCACCTAAACCTGAGTACACGGGCCTACAACATTTCCGCCTCCATCGGAAATGCAGCCGCCACAGCCAGGATTCGAACCCGCGACGTGCGGGTCAGCAGCCGAGTACCTTAGCCACTAGACCACCGCGGCGGGGTTACTACGTTACATTCTCGCGAGGCTTCTAAGAAATCAGAACGACGAATATGACGGCAGCAGTGCTGTTCGACGCAGACAGCAACGGTGGACCTGATGCAAGGCATGTGTACCTCATAATGAAAGGCGATGTTTTCATGCCAGACAAGGCCAATTCAAACGGTGGGTTCTGGAATCCTGATAGTTTAGAAAAAATTGCCTGGCGTCTCACGAAAATCCTCAAGCATCGCGTTCGATAGGGTGTGTGCGGGACCGTCTTTCTCTGCCAAGCCTCTTGGCGAATGAACCCGTAAATAAAACGGCACCTTGATACGCACTTTTATTCATGGTGTAACATAGCACGCCTTGGACGTTGTGTGAGCTTTCATTCCTTAAATGTGCCTGTAGTTACCGTAAGGCCATGAATATCTGGAACGCGAGCACTTGCTTCAGAGTACGCTAAGCCTCATTTGTTGCAGCGCTGGATAGAACACTTGGGTCGATCCAGTGTGGCCGTGTCCGATCAGACGCATTGAGCAGCCAAGCTCAAGAGAGATAGATATGTGGGGTTTAACGTCCCAAAACCGATTATGAGAGACGCCGTAGTAGAGGGCTCCGGAAATTTTGACCGCCTGTGGTTCTTTAACGTGCGCCCAAATCAGTTCAAGGGGGACAGAGAGAATCAAATGAGGAAAATGCAGGGAGGTTAACCGGAAATTGGAGCATCCGGTTTGTGACCCTGCACTAAGGGAAGAGTAAAGCAACAAAGGTGAACGTGCACATTTAGTGCACCTAGGAACGATGCTAAAAATCTACACTGAACGCCACGGCCTGACTTGTATGCACTGGTGGCCCTTACCCTGGCCGTTGGGATACTTTTCGTGCAGATCACAGAGGCCACGTCATTAATGGGACATAGCATACTTCTAGCGTGAATGGCGCTGATAACCATTCCAAACCCTTGCATCTCGAATACGACTTATCTAGTGGAGTGAAACGCATCAAGGTACGTTAAACTGGAGGAGTCGTCACGCTTCACTTGGAGCGTACGCAACGTAGTTTTCCCAGCGTACGCATCATCACCGGATGCCCAACAAAAGTGTCTATTTTCAACACAAAAGTGTTTTATGCCGGGGTCCACCAAGACTACCGGGATGTACTTGCACCATGGAAATGATGTCTAAAATAACAAGCTCAGAAAAATAGAAAGACCGTCGTGGCTAGTTGATTCCAGTCGACAGGATCTCGACTGAAATACGTCCACGGGATTCGAACCTACGACCTCTCGGTCGGCGACCACAGCTGCCTGGCACGCTATCTACTGCGCCACTGTCGCACACTTCGCAGCCTTCAAAAATGCGCCTTTGATATCTACGACTTCCCTCTCACAGTACTCTTGACAAAGTGTAATAATGCATCACTACCGTGAAAATTAGCATTATTTCCTTCAACGCGTCGTTATTACGCGTCCGTAATATTTGATGCGTTTCGAAAAGAAAGAGAAGAATTTTGTCAATGCCTTAACACGCTTCCAGGTGGCGAGCTTACCTAAAGCGTCACCGTGGCTCATAGCATCCATTCATGACAAAAATAGTTCTGCGAAGCGTAGAGCAATGCACCTGGTTCGCCAGGATGTGACTCCACGTTCCCAGTGCATGCTCGCCACGCGAAAACTCGTGGCAGGCAACCAGGCAAGGCAAAACACGAGTTGCGTTTCCCACTGATCGAAGAGTGGCGTTCAATAACTATAACATGCCTTGACTTGGTGGCCTTAGCCCAAGCGTGGCGTACAATCAGTCACGCTCTTCCTTATGGCTGTCACACAGCGTTCTTTGGTTGCGCTCTAACCGTTAACTACTACAGCTACCGCAGGCATGCATTATCACTAGAAAACGCTTATTTATTAATCAATCACTATTTTTGGACGTTAGTCGTTGGGGTGGAGATGTATTGATAATCATCAACGTGGATACATTTACGAAAAGCAATGTTTTAGCTGTCAAACACCATATAGACATTATAAAAGCTGCATAATAAATTTTTTCATCAACGCCATCTCTTATATCAATGTGCAATAAGAACTAAACTACTTCTGCGAACAGACGTTTTACATTCGTTGTATACCAATTCCTGTGATGGAGGGATCAACCAATTTTTTTTTTCTCGTAGAGATATCATTACTAAAACCGAAGTTAAAATATTGCACCTAGTGATAGTGCAGGGCTGTCAAAACAAACGTTCACGCCTGTGAAAGTTGATGAGTGAAAGACGTGCTCTTTACATCACTGGCAATACTTGAGGCACGCGCTTGGGTGTTAGTGTTTCACTCGACACCGATAGTACCGTTCCGAAGACTTTGTGATGCCGCAGGCATATTGTACTTCAAGTAATAAAGCGTGAAGTTAGCTGCGCAAAACGTTATGTTGCTTAGTAGTAGCAGTGACGCTATAGATTCACTGATAACTGCCGGTTGATGTCATTGCCCTCGTACTAATATTAAGTCAATTTCAGATAAACCACGTAAAGTTCCGACACTATGCAAGAGTTCGTGTGTGATCTGGTTCCCGTACACTGCATGTATAAACAAAGCTGTGGCAAAACTTTGAAGAAAGCAGTACCCGCCCATGTATACACTTATATGCGGTATTCACGTTGCGTGTATACCTCTGACATCGTTAGATATTTTGTTTCTAACATGGACAACTTGTAATAAATTACCACTCTTTTTTAACGTACCAGATTGAAGTGCTGCAGAGACAGTCGTTCTCGCATGATGCCGGCTCGTATGAGGTACAGTGGTGAGTGGATAAGGTAGGCGCCGTACGAAAGCCTGCTCAGCGGAATCAGAGGCCTCCAGGATAGAAATCTGCTGACGAAACCTGCGTTCAAGAGCTGACTCAGTACACCCGTTGGTCATGGTTGCTGTTGTCCATACTTGAAAACAAGCTAGAACTGAAGTTGAGTGTAGCGAAGCTATTGGCATTTCATTTTATCACCGAATTTGTAGCCAAGTCAAACAAAAGCGGTATTACGAATAGCATTTTTATTGTTGAACAACAAATAACATGACTTTAGATAAGCAAGAAAATCGAATAAATAGCACAGCAACATTCACTATTTTTCGTCTTCAAGCAACATGTAAGCTGCAAAAAAAAATGGCAGATCTCACGCACAGTGGGAATCGATGATATGCAATGCACGCATGACAAAGGTTGATATGTCACTTTAAAATCTGCTCAACGTTACGAGGTGGACGTAATTTATGCCATACATCACTTCCATGTCATTATTATCATGATTGCGCCTGCCATTTGTGTTCGTCATCTATTCACGTCAAGTAATACCAAATTCGGTATATGGGAAGCTAACGAATCGGCCACGAACATGCTATGAGCGTAGCATGTAGACATGTTTTACATGACACGCATGTCATGAATATCGTCTTTAGATGTGTCATGTACCTTCGTCGTCCATTCACTTCACGTATAACGCCAAACTTGTTATACATGACGCTAGCGAAACGGCCGCGAGAACAACATTAGCATGGCAAATAGCCATGTTCTTACATGACACGCATCTCATGATTATCATGTTTGCACCACTCATATACCTTCAGCATCTATTCACATTCCATAATACCAAATTTGGTATATGTGAAGCTAGCAAAACGACCGCGAGCGCACCGTGAGCGTACGTCTAGCCATGACTTACATGACGTGCATGCTATGATTTCCCCGTTAGGGTCTGTCCCTTATGTTCCCCATGCAGTCATGCAATACCATACCAGTCTTGCAATATATCATGTGAACAAAACCACTGCAAGGGCAGCAAGACCGTGCAATATAAATCATAACATTCATGGCATAAATTTCATGATTTTCATGTTATGACTAGTTTGTTATGCTCGTCATACATAAATGTTATGGCATACCAATTTTTTTTATTTATTTATACAATACAGCAGACTTTTTTAATGGTCCAAGCAGGACGGGCAGAAAAAAGAATGTTCACGCACATACAATGCAATGCAATGTAACAAAAACAATGAAGCAAGAAAACGCAGAATTCACTTGGAACTACAAAATAAACAAGCCACGGTGAAACCGACTTTTCGCACAAACATAGCAGGGTTTCCAATCCAAATAAAACTAGAAAATCACGCACAACTTCAAGAAACATTGCTAAAAACCCGAACGTCAGTAATTAAAAGTTTCTAAAATGATCGTGTAGGGCTGTCATAAAATTTCCAATAAAAATTCTTTCTGGCAATTTATTCCAGTCATCTACCGTGCGTGGAAAATATGAAAACTTAAAGGTATTTGTTCGGGCAAAGAATGGGGACAAACTGTGGCTATGTGTGTGTCGTGTTTTCCTCGTGGTGGACGGACTAATGAATGGAGTGGGTGATAATCCAGTCTTACACTTAATTAGGGATTCCATAAAAGCTAAGCGGGCAATTTGGCGTCTAATGTGTAGTGGTTGGATTTTATTGAGTGCCATGATACCTGACGGAGAATCACTTCTTTTATATTTATTATAAATAAAACGAACAGCCCTCCTCTGAACCTTCTCCAATTCGTTAATGTTTTTGTTCGTGTGCGGATCCCAAACAACCGCTGCATACTCCAGTTTAGGCCTAATTATGGAATTATACGCTAAAAGCTTAACGTTACTAGGTGTACCTCGAAGTTTATCTCGTAAAAGACCAAGTTTTTTTAGCGCTGAAGAAGTTACCTGCTGAACGTGGTCGTTCCAATCTAATCTGGAGTTCAATACGATACTTAGGTATTTAAATTACTAACCTCCTCGATTAAGGTGTTTTTAATTTTGTAGCGGAAAGTTGTGAGGCTTCGTTTCCAGGTTATACGTAAAAGAACTGTTTTTGTAGTGCTAATTTTCATGCCCCATTTGTCGCACCAAGATGATATGTCACATAAAGCCCTATCTAGCCGATGTTGATCAGAAGCAGACTGCACTTCAGTATAAATCATGATATCACCCGCGAACATTCCAACATTCACAGTATCACCAACCACACACACTAAATCATTAACATACAACATAGGCATAGGTATCATTATGGAAACGGCCAGGAGCGCTCTTAGGCGGCCAGGAAGAAGATAGATAGATAGATAGATAGATAGATAGATAGATAGATAGATAGATAGATAGATAGATAGATAGATAGATAGATAGATAGATAGATAGACAGATAGATAGATAGATAGATAGATAGACAGACAGACAGACAGACAGACAGACAGACAGACAGACAGACAGACAGACAGACAGACAGACAGACAGATAGATAGATAGATAGATAGATAGATAGATAGATAGATAGATAGATAGATAGATAGATAGATAGATAGATAGATAGATAGGTAGATAGATAGATAGATAGATTGATAGATTGATAGATAGATAGATAGATAGATAGATAGATAGATAGATAGATAGATAGATAGATAGATAGATAGATAGATAGATAGATAGATAGATAGATAGATAGATAGATAGATTCGAAATCGCCGAAGTTCGCTAAAATATGCTTCGCATTTAACAAGTAAGCAAGGCTTTAGGATTGTGAGAGTGGCACCACACTGACTGCGTTGGTAAACTGCAACCAACTTTCTTGTTTTTCTTCGCAGGTGATCTCTCGATATTTGAAGCTAACCCCTAAAGCTCACTACACCTCACGTGGCTTTTAACTGCCGCCAATATTAGAACTTTCTGCACACCCGCTCGCATTTCACTACCGTGTGATGACGTCATCACCTTTTCTCATCCTATGACGTGGTAGTGACGCCACGACGACGCTGTAACGACGTTACAAATTTTTGTTGTCTGTGACGTCCTCAAGTCGTAATCTCCAATCACGTGATGTCTTGCGTCGTTTTTGAGAAAGCAACACCGATGGTCGCTTCTCTTCGTTTATAAGACATGTAAGGCGTTTGCCTTAAGATGTACCTTTCCACTTGAACCACGATAGTAAACTTCACACCAGTTTTCCGAAACGTTTATCCAATTTGCTATTGATGTAATGTCGACTATTTATATTTTTTGTCGCTATCCGCCTAATTCTATGTGTAGTTTAATGTGCACTCAGTTATGTACAACCCACAGGTTAACTCATTGCGAAACTTTGATACTTTTTTGTATTTTATATCCTATAATTTTTTCCCTGCCGTCTCAGACTTTTCTTCCTTTCATTCTTACACACCTCTTTTCTTTTCCCAAGTTCAGTGTGTACAGACCAGAGTCTTCCTGTGGTTAATCCCATGTATTTTCTTTAGCTCTCTCTCTCTATTTTATAAATGTTTCCGTAAAACTCCCACCAGTGCTTCACAGGGTGGCCTGGAAAAGTAGCAAATAGCGCATTAGCGTCTCGAATTGGACTGGTTGGTGCATATTGATTTGAATAAAGACACAGTGTCATAAATTTAAAAGCTCCTCAGATCACTAGCAAGCCCACTCCGGACGCTCCAGATCAGATGGGGTCTTACTCCTCTAGGGGTTTTCTGAGCATGATTCATCCGGATGTTTATCTACTTTGCTAAGATCGAGGTCAATATTGTTCTCTAGATCCCATGTTTTCGCAGTGCTCTGCGTTACAGGATTAGAAAGAGCAGAAGGCTGGGCGATGGCAATTACAAATGCTAGACAAGACGCCCAGCTTCAGGCTGTCCAGGGGGCCCGTCAATGTGCGGAGAGGGAAGTCCTGTCTGCTCCGACATGCAACTAGCCAACCGCTGTGTGGGGACCAACCCAATTGGCCTGATGCCTTGCCTCTCAAGACCAAAATAAAAAGGTTTGTCTGTCTCTTTGTCCGCTAAGACAGGACAAATAAGAGAGGACACAAACACGACGCTGCGCGGTTTAGTTTTTCGGTAAATAATAGGCAATGGCTGCCCCCACAGGAACACTATCATCTGCGACGCTAGCCACATATTCTGCTGGAAGGGCTTTTGTCTTCGAAGGCCTCTGGTTTGGTTGGGGTTTGCGACAAAAAGCAACCATATTAAAAACAAACCTGTCTTCGGGGTTCTGAGTGGAGGGTACGACTAGTTCTGTTTCCTTGGATGAGTGAAGGCAGCATTCACCTAAATAAGTGCTGGACTTCGAGAGACAGATAGGAATTATTCAGGGAATACATGTACAGGTGTGCCTTAACGACGCTATGGCTAGCAGATTTAAACACCGCGCCGTGTTTGCGTCCTCTCGTCTTCGTCCTGTACTAACTGCTTCTTCATTCGAAATCATCAAAGTTTTTTTGGTTCGGTACTCTGATCGCACGCACGCACGCACGCACACACACGCACACACACACACACACACACACACGTACACAAACACACAGCAACGTGGCGCGTGCACTGCCTTGCTCACCTCCGCGACCCGAAGCGCAGGCGAAGACGACCCAGGAGAGTGACAGCGCCCAGGCCAGTTTGCTTAAGCCGGCGTAAGCAACTGCGTCAGCGCCCAGCCAAGAGTCACCACGCAGCCACTTGAAGGGACCGAAGACAACTAGCAGCGCCAGCATCGTGGACATCGTCCAGAGAGCGGCACGCGCCCAGCGGGGAAGCTTCAGGCCGACGTGCGCGCTCACTGCGTAGCCCAGCATGATGCCCACGGCGTACGAAGTCACGTGGACGTACGGCCGGTAGTAGATGAATTTCATCATGTCCAGTGTCTTGCTGTAAACGCGGTGATTGAAAAGTAAATACATGCATGATAACTACAAAAAACAGCGCGGCACTAAAGTGCAGACTCAACACGCCAGCACTAAAAAAAGTTCCTTAAGGAATACCTATCAGTAGCTTGCACGTAAGAGTTTCGCATGCGACAAACGTGATTGTCCGGCCGCACAAACAGAACAGGAGTTTACGGAGCGCGGGCTCCAGTCCAAATTTGAATTTCTGCTTTGTTGGTGCACGACGCTTTTAACCTAGCAGGTAGCTATTTAGGCTGCAAGGACTACGACAGCTTGGAACATCTATCTGTAGGCTGTGTTCTCAGACGAAACGGGATATAGCTTGCTCGAAAATTTTATGCTACGCTATCTCTGGCGGGCGGGGGTACGTTACAAGTTGAAGGGCGTCAAACACAATTTATCTAATACGCATATGTAAATAGTCGTCGAGTGGCATCTTTAGAAAAGCGTATTACCTCGCCAATCAACTTCTGCATTTTTATAGAACTCGTCACGTGCGAGCATTATCACAGAAATCTATAGCACACTTGAAGCGCTTTTTGCTTTTTGCATAGGGGGGCGCTGAAGGCTACGCTGTAAGAGAGATTACAAAGGGGCAAAAACACGCATTCCTTTGTTAGGGCTGGTCACGACTTCGATCACATTTTTTTTCTCACGAACGCATGACCTGCTTTTAGAGTGATCACGACTGAGCTTGCAGGCAGGTGGCAGCATTCTGCGGTGGGCTTGGTAACTATGCAGCTCATGATGCTCAAATAAGCCTGTGACCGTGGATGTTTGGTTTACGGCGCGGTCATTTGGGTTTATGGCATCATCAGTAAAAAAAAAAAGGTAGATCTACCGAACAGTGGGAATCGATGATATGCGAAGCACCAATAAGGAAGGTTGAATTTTAATAAAACCAGCACATCGTTACGAGGCGGGCGTAAATTATGCCGTAAAGTATGCCATACAGTGGGAATCGATGATATGCGAAGCAAGAAAGAGGAAAGTTGAATTGTCACATAAAAATTCGCACAACGTTACGAGGCGGACGTAAATTTTGCCATACATTACTTCCATGTCACGTATATCTTCGAGCCTAGCAATACCGCTAGTCGTCCATTCACGTCACGTAAAACCAAATTTGTTATATGTGAAGCTAGCGGAACGACCGCGAGCGCATCATGAGCGTGGCATGTAGTGATGAGTTACATGACACGCATGACATGATTTTCTCGTGAGGGCCTGTCACTTATGCTCACCATGCAGTCCTGTCATACCATACCAGTTTTGCAATAAGTCATCAGAATTAAACCACCTCATTGATTGATATGTAGGGTTTAATGTCCCAAAACCACCATATGATTATGAGAGACCTGCACCCAAATCTGAGTACACGGGCCTACAGCATTTTCGCCTCTATTTATAATCCAGGTGCCGCAGCCAGGATTCGATCACGCGACCTTCGGGTCAGCAGCCGAGTACCTTAGCCACTAAACCACCTCCGCGGAGCGCGAAACCACCTATGAAGCAGCAAGACCATGAGATGTAAATTATGACAGTCATGACATGCATGTCAGAATTGTCATATTATAACTAGCCACTTATACTTGTCATAAAGTCTTGTTAAGTCATTGGTATAGGTATGGCTTGTCCAAACGGCTAGGAGAGCTAAAAACCGTAAGCGGCCATACAGACAGACAGACAGACAGACAGACAGACAGACAGACAGACAGACAGACAGATAGACAGACAGATAGATAGATAGATAGATAGATAGATAGATAGATAGATAGATAGATAGATAGATAGATAGATAGATAGATAGATAGATAGATAGATAGATAGATAGATAGATAGATAGATAGATAGATAGATAGATAGATAGATAGATAGATAGATAGATACGATCAAACTCGCTGAACTTCGCTAAGAAATGCTTCGCATTTAGAAGAGGAAACTGTTTTTAGCTGTCTTAGAGAATGGATTGCAAATTCCAGGCCGCGAGCTGCACTGTATTATTTGGCTTGCGTGTTCTCAAGAGCCTCAACTACCCATCGGCAATGTTTTATGGCCTTGCTAAAAAAGTGCCACTGAGTCACTTTAAATACAATTGTAAAAGACAAACATGAGCGCCGAAAAACAATGGTTCCTGGTAGTATTTGAACTTAGGTCATATTTATGCGGCACATATGAAAAGAAAATTGAAGAAGACGACACAGACGTGAAAAAAGGCAGGCGCTAAGCTTCCAAAGCTTAGCGCACACGTTTTTTGACGTCTGTATTGTCTTTTCCTTTTTTGTTTTCTTATGTTCCGCGCTAATACAAGATAAGTTCATACATAATCAACTCGCTCGAGCCACAACACTCCGTATGGTATGCTTTGTAGACATTGAGTGCATTGAATAATTGAATAATATTGAATAATTTTTACTCAGCCATAAATGGTCTCGTTTATGAAGTTGTCCGCTATTTTAGAAGCCTGTAACATCTCACTAAAATGTATAAGAAATAAAATATAGAGGGCAGACAGGACCTTCCCTCCCCCCCTCCAATGTGATATTGGTAGTACAAGGCCATTTACCTCACTGGAACAAGCCTGTATGGTGCGTCAGCAAAATGAACCTTAATGAGACAAACAGTGATGAATTTACGTAACTCAAATATGTGGGTACACACATTACGAAGAGTGAAGGCTGGTTAGTCCTTGAGGCAGAACTCACAATATCCTTGAGGCATCCTCAAGGCATCCTTGAGGCAGAACTCACAATATAGCCTTCTTCATGTACTTCGGTTGCTACGTTATACACTACCAGAAAAAACACCATTGCGTTGCCTGCAGCTATGCTCACTTTCAGACGCAGCTGTTGTCTTTTGTTTCCAACAGTGACACGATAATCGAAGAGTTTCTCTAGAAAAGCGTGATACCGATGGCTGCTTACTCGAGCTGTGGCTGGCCGTACAAGGGTAGCGGTTGATAGGAGTACATGTAAGCGTTGACAGTGACTGCCGCTGACGAGCCGATTGCCAGGGCCCCCGCGCACAGCAAGCCTATCCTCGGGTGGCTGTAAAGAAAGCATATATACGCTGCATGTCTCTGTTCATTTAGTGTCCGTGAGCAGCGATGAGATGGTACGTTGCGTTTACCTCAACATGACGACAGGAATGATCCAGATGAACATGTAGATTTGCCAGTCGACGCTTACGTACCAGCTGTGCTGGAGGCACTGCATAGCGGAATCGGAAGCTCATATGTGAAGGAGGAGGGGACACGTTGAGAAAGAAGGCATAAAACAAAAAAAAAATGCTGGATATTTGGACAGCGCGTAAATTAGGCAATATTTTTAATTCTTTACGTACCTTCGTTGTTAGTACACAGTGACAAAGAAATCAAGACGCGTAGCTGAAACTGAAAATTATACAAGGCCAACATCAAAAAACAAAAGAAGAAACTATATGAGCAGAGATGCGAAGATAACTATAGTAAAAATTTCTGTCTAATAACTATTAGTTCATTAAAAAGAAAAATTCATGCTAACACTTTACACAAGGTGGACCACTGAAACAATATTAATGTCTGAGACTAACGTTGAACCAGTATATTTGCATTCTTGTTTAGGGAGAACAAAGTGGACATATAGGATGGCGCTCTGGTTCTGCATCTTGCATGGTACACCTTATCAAAAGGCCCGGCAGTGCACATTGCTAAGCTGTCCTTATTGAGGCATACTCGAAAGCAGTGAAACTTACATTCTTGAAAAAAAAGGCAGTACTACCTACTAACTTAGAGTCAGTGGATTGTTGTCACATCATTAACTACATAAGTAGTTACTAGTAACAACGGTTAGTAGACCACATACATTTACTACCTTTGGTTGCTTCTAAGGTAGTGAACATCTGTGGTCTACTATTTGCAGTTATTATACTTACATACTGAATGTTGTGGCAACAATTTACTACCTCAAAGTTAGTAAGTAGCACTGCTTTTATTTAGGAGTGTACTATACGAATACATTCTTGTAACTCATTCGAGCTCGAACCATGATAACAGACAAGACACATAGTTATTACTTTTCATATCCGTATTAGCAATGCTGAATCACCTATAAAACAGTTAAATGGCCGCATCGATGGAAGTGCAGGGATAAAAATGTCACTTTGCGTCAAGGGTCTTTTTGTACTTGGATGTTCTGACCTGTTAATATAGATTGTACACGAATAGCTTGGGTCACTACCCGTGAATTACTCAAAGGAACTCTTGTATAATTTAATTCCCTGTTCGCACCAAAGTTTATTGTCCTTTTTACGTTGCAAGTTGGAGCTATTTTCTTCACACTAACTTAATAAAAAGAGCGCTGTTCTTTACTCAAGCAACCACATCAACGCTCTGGTACAAGTTAAAACACGAAATTGCAATATATGTTGCACGTCCGGCTCAAATCACTTGACATCTCGGGTGGCTTCACACGCTGTTATGAGATCGAGCATTACATTCACTTGAGGTTACAAACTCATTTTCACACCATTAAAACACTCAAAAATGATGTAGTGACGTCAGCGCATCGTATTATTGCACTAACACGATATTGCGTTATGAACAGGACCAGTTTTTATGTTTGTTAGCTGTGTATCACTGTTAATGACTTCTTGCTTAGCACAGAACGACTTTACCGTTTTGTCCCGTTTCTTTGAGCGATTGCTTGCTGCACCAATACCCCAAGGTGACGGCGGCAATAGCACCACTAAAAGCCTTATGTACAATCTTTGGAATCAGCAACCAATCAACGTGCATTATGTAAATGGGTGAATAAATGTTGCCTAAAAGCATAGTTAGGGAGGAGCAATGGTTGCTTTAGTTCGGCAAGTTGTGATGTTAGTTGTTCGTGAAGTGTAAGACTGTTTGTGACGAACTTCATTTAAGTATCAATCTTCATGAAATTCATACGAATATCGGTCTTAATCAACTTCAGCGTAGACCTCGTTGAAGTTGATGAAGATTCATGTTGAGCTAATGGCTAGTAGATTTTACACAGAGGTATGAGGACCGGAAACCGAAGTCGCGAGAGTTACGGTTTTTTGGTGACGTTTCAACACGCTAAGGGCAGTCTGGCTTATGTGGATAACATTTGTTCGAGCTGACCATTTTTATACATTCACTTTAACACAGGTGCTTCCTTCGAAGATCGTCCTCAAATTTTTCGCTTATATCCCGTCATCGAAAATTGCAGACGTTCACATTTGCGCACCATGCTATTGTAAACATGACTTAATAAGGCTAGAGGAAATTCGCGACGGGATGTTACTAACTTCAGGGAGTTAAATAATGCCTGGGAAAATGCAAAGCAGCAGATAGTGAAATAGTGGCACTCAGTAAAAATTGACAGTGTCCATGCGAGGGGCATAACACGAATGCGATACGCGGAAGTAAGAACCCCGCAAACAGTGGCCCAGAGAGCACGAAGGCGCCCTTGCCATGTCGAGCAGGTCGCTCCAGTTGTTGATGTGTATGAGCGCCCGCCACCAGTTGCGGGTGCAAGTGGCGAATATGGACGGGTGGTGTTCTTTGGCAAGCGGCCCGTCAACCACCAGGGGCACGAGCAGCCATACCCCGATCACGAACATGAGAGGCGCCGTCAACCTGCGAGAGAGGAACAAGCCAGCCTCGACAAGTTCAGTGCCCACTGAGATGTTCCCGTTGTGGTGTCCGTTCACAGCGTAATCACGGCACTTTTAAACACATTGCACTTGAGGAGAAATGAAGCACTGTATGCCCCTGTCACGTTCCACTAACGCATGAAGAACTTGACGGAGAGACCACATTGCAACAGTGGAATGCTGTCTATTATAATTCTCCATACGAATAGCTTAATGGTGACTCCGGGTGACATCACGCCAGCCCTGTGAAAGTGTGCCCAGCCTTTCAACGCGCTTTCTTGCATGCTTGATATTTATAAAAGAATCGTGTTGTATATTGCGGCATCCGCTCCTAGCGTCGTGATTAAAGGAATCGGGCCTCGGTACTGAGTGTTTGCGTTCCTCAACAGCACCTTAACGGAGATCATCACATCACAGGAGCCAAAGCGCCACGTATGACTTCATACAAACGTTATACCGCTTTTCAAGTTTCAACTAAAGGGAAATGATTAGCCTGATGTTGCATAACTATTACTATTTTGTCAACGTTGGTCGATGGCTGGGTCGTTAAGGGGTCAGTAACATACACCCTCAAACGTCGCGGTTCTCACTATTTTGGCGGCATCAATACTGCCCGAAAAAAAATGTAAACAGTGACGTCGCACTCTACTAGAAACGTCGTATTCGATGTTTCTGGGGTCGTTATGCGAGGGACGTTACAGCTTGATAGCTCACTCATCAAGAACCTGTCATTCTAACCGATGCTATTCTCGTGTAAAGGACACGTATATAATCTTGGCTAAACGCGAATACAAACGTTGCGTGCGCCATCGTTGCTTTCATCATGTCTATTACAGGGTCTTCATTTTTGTTTCTTGCCTGCTCCTTACACCACATTTCTTCCTACTGATCTTTGGAGCCGAAAGTACGCTTTTGTATTGCTCGGTGGTGATTTTAGTCCCTGTCACAAGTTATTTGCAAATAAATTGAAAAAAATTCGCGAATCAACAGATAAACAGGTTGCTTAAGAAGTGAAACAAGTAAATTTAGAATGTAAAGTACAGAAAAATCTGCATTTATTGCATAGTCGTCGGTTGCATTACTTGGTGATGCGTTCTCGGTCTTCAAACTCATTTTGTACCAATACACCACAACTATAATGTAATAATAATAATAATAATAACAACAACAACAACAACAATAATAATAATAATAATAATAATAATAATAATAATAATAATAATAATAATAATAATAATAATGATGATAATAATAATAATAATAATAATACCAAGAAGTGGAAAGTATTCAAGAATGCTTTGGGTTGTTGAATATGTGCTTCAGCCTAGTCTTTTATTGATAAACTTAGCCAAGTGCCCGATGCTGCCACGAACGGGAACCCCTTCAGCGGAGCACGTTAGTCACTTAGAAAACGCCATGAGCACGCCTATTTCATTGACGGTGGCCTGCCCCCCCATGCCACCTTCGGCCTTTTTTTTCCCTTTCCTTTCTCCTTCTTCTCTTTGTCATGGCTTTGATTGTAGCACTTGTGCCATCACTGAACGTTACCGAGAGAAAAGAAACGTAACTGTAGGAGAACAACACCTTCTCTCCGCTAATAAAATTTTCTCTCTTGTTAAGCATTAGCCCGATGGCAGCAGCATTAAGATAGCATTTAGCTTAAGGCACCGTTAAGATGTACTTACCTTATGTATCTTCTTACGAGGAGTAAGGTGACCGGTAGCCAGAGGCCTCCTCTTCTTTTCCTCAAGTGCGTAGCGATGTTAAAGCTCAGTAGGAATCCGCTGGAAGTATTGTAAGGAAAGGCGAAAGCGGTATCGTTCAGCGTACAACTTATCTCGCTTTCGAGCATAGTTATTAGGTGAGTAATGGCCTCATTAACTCACGCAATCTAGAAAATGCGATCCATATGCACATGGCTTCACCGTTCTCGATTGTAACTACGAAGGGATCAGCAGGTGGTACGGTCTCCAGTGGCGCGTTTTCAAAAGCAACATTTTTAAAGCATGCACTGACACTATCTGCCCACGAAGCAAGTACCTAGTCGTATTATAATTCTTTAGTGAGCTGTAACACTTTATCGGTGCCATGTAGCGGAATTCCTTTGTATGTCTTTTTTAATCATGGCACACTGACGCCTCAGCAAAGGAAATGTGAGACAATATGAGACATTCACTCCAGCACATCATATCTCCTGATAAGACTATGGAATCTTAGCATGAATATAAAGCAACCGTTACTTATTTACGTGGACTGGGTATGATAAAGTTATAGTAATAAGTTATATATAGGACAGTACTTATCCCATTACCGCCAAGTTTTTTTATTTTTCACAAGACCCCCGTACGTAGGAGGGGTTTTACCTGAAGTGTGGGCGTGGTGGTAAGCAGAGATGAACTGCATCAAGGAAAAATCAATTCCATAACTTTACATTTTAATTCACTAATCTCAGTGAGCTAGTCCACAGAGTGGAGAATACTTCAAAGAGCAGTTTACGGGCTTGAGTAGGGTTCGCCAGGCGCGTTTGCATTAGAGCGACACGACACTGACGTGACCCCGATGAAGACACGAGGCAGACGCAAACCATCGGCCGACGTGTCGCTCTACGACGAATTCCCCAGACCACATAGTCACACTAGGCCGACGACGACGACGACGCCTCAAAAGACAGAATTTCATTGTAGTGTAACATGATGAGAGACCGAAAACACCAGCGAAACGCATCCGCATACTTGTTCTCGGCGTGTCTTCGGGAGACCGGCGGCTGAGCGAAAATTTACACCATGTCTTTGCTTTAAACGACCACGAAGGGGGCAATATTGGGGGAGTTAACAATGCCCTCTCCGAGGCTTCCGCGGCGTCTGAATAGGCAGCTCGAGCACCCAACGGAAGTCTTTTCTTCGCTTCCATAGTGTTCCCCATCCTCGTCCCTCGTTACCATGGATTATGACAGGGGCTGTGCCGCGTAGCCAGAGAGGGACAATGACAGAGCGGGGATCATGATTGAAAATGAGGTGCAGGTGTGCAAGTTTAGTCGGTGTCGCGGCGTGTGCCTCCAAACGAAAGACTGTGAGCACGACAAGGCACGGGCGGGGTACTCAAGAGACCACCCGCGGACTGCTAGTGTCTTTGCAGTGCACACAGGTCCACGACAAGAGAGAAGACACTCCTAAAGACAGCCCGGTGACCAAAATCGGTGTCGTGTTTCTCTAGTGTAAAAGCACCTGAAGGAATCCTTTCTTCAATGCAAGAATCTTCACCAGCAAACTTTGTACAAGCAGAGTCTAGTGGGACATTCATCCCGTGTCTGTGCGTGCGAAATTCATTATCATTTTGCGTAGCATTGTTCGTGAACAAAAGCGCTATGAATGAGGTTTGATACCTGAAATGAAAAGTTCGAGCATAACTTCCCCTTGCAGGGATGTACTTCAGACCACAAGAGAGCTAATCTAACGAAGTGAGCGGCGCTCCAGTACTGTATACCATGTTGGCGCTGTTGCTCGAACGAATGTAATAGAGAACCACGTTTTTGCCAGTTGCGTAGCAAAAATATACGTCGCTCTCCTGATTGTTTATCAATTAAAAATTCGACTGATATGAGTAATATATGAGCTTTTCCAATGACCTGGAAAGCGACTCGCTTTGTGTGTGATACCGCAATCTTAACAGAATATTGCCGTGGGTCTTTGTAGTATTGAACCGAGTTCAAGTGGGATAACTACTCGTTTTCGTCCTATATGAAATATTTACACTTATTTTTCCTTAAAATGTGGCAGGGTGTCAATGCCGACGTCGAGAGATGGCGCCATGCACGGATGTGTCCAAATCTTCGTAATGACATGTTCTGGGTGCTCCACGGGTGTCTAATTCAAAATGAATGTGGAAAAAAATGGCTAGGTATATTTCGGTACAAGGCGTAAACAACGTCTACATTGTATTCATGTGCGAAATGTTGCCGCATTGCGATTGAATGAGCATCCCATGGTCTCGATGATCAACCGGGTTTTCAAATGCATTTTTTGCGTACTGTGAACACCTAAGCGTCTATCTATCTATCTATCTATCTATCTATCTATCTATCTATCTATCTATCTATCTATCTATCTATCTATCTATCTATCTATCTATCTATCTATCTATCTATCTATCTATCTATCTATCTATCTATCTATCTATCTATCTATCTATCTATCTATCTATCTATCTATTTATCTATCTATCTATCTATCTATCTATCTATCTATCTATCTATCTATCTATCTATCTATCTATCTATCTATCTATCTATCTATCTATCTATCTACCTATAAGTCATATTAGCCACTTACGTCTCGGTGCTCTCATGATCACCCGCTTAACTTGGGGTAAACCAAATTTAGTATGTGAGGGTAAAACGGTTTGACGAATACGACTCGCTGGTAAATGACCTGAATAAGGTCACAATCCCATTGCGTTCGTAATCAAACCTATTCCAAAAGTGCCCCCCCCTCCGCGAAGGGAATCGGGAGGAAATGCAATGTAAATGCATTGCGTAGCGTCCATAACAGAGTTTCACACGTGAAACCCAGCGTTAGAAGAATGTTTTATTATTTTTTTCTTACAGCTTGCAGCTAATAGCACCGTTCAACGCACGTGGTGTTTTTCTGTCGCAAGACTATTCGTATGCGTTTTCAGCTCTAGTAGCTAACGTGCACGGTTATGAAATACTATGAAGTGAACAAAACAAGCAGTGTTCTCGGCTCGCTGTTGGCGTTTCTAAATTTAAAAGCAGTGGCACATACCCGGGGGCGCGTATGTGCTGCTGGTGCGCGGGTATGGGCCACAGGTGTTTGACAGTTCCTGTTTACCCAGGAACGGCGAGAACACACACGGGTCATTTTAATGCTTGACCTTTCAGAGAACGCAGACATTGTCTGCGTTGAGCAGACGAATGCAAACATTAAATGTCATTGTCTTAGCAATAATCAAACTCTAACATTCTGCATGGCAATAAAGTATTCTACAACAGACTCACGTCGGGTCTCGGAACCATATCTTTCATATGGACCCTAATGTTCGCGAAACCCCAATTGTGGTTGTAGTGCTGACGTTGTTATTTTAACATCACATATGCCCTCTTACGGTATGCAGCCGTCACATCGGGTTAACATCAATTGTAGGGAGGTGTCATTCGCTTAAGTTTATTTATGTAGCAGTGTCCAGGGCTACGATTCTGATTCTCGCCAGCAGCAGCGCTTTATATCAGCTTACCGCTTCTGTTGTTGCTAATATCTATGTTGCTGTTGGCATGGCTTTGCAACTATAAACTACTGGCGATATAAAACATATGCGGCTGTTTAACGTATGTCTGTGCGTGCATTGCAGGCCTACTTATGTTTAGCGCAACTTCGTAATGTTTCGCCCAATAAAAAATTACAACACAGTAAGCTTGCATGCGCATGCTTCGCATAACATCGATTCCTAAGGTACGTGGGATCGTCTTAAAGGGCACGTAAACCACCAGAGGTTGAAATTAAGTTGTGGTGGGGAAATTATGCGCAAGTGTACGACAAACCCGGAGCCATGATAATTTTTTGGAAAGGTGTAGTAATAGCGGAGTTAGCAGATTTGGGTGCACGTTAAAGAACTCCAGATGGTCGAAATTTCCCGAGCCTTCCAGTACGGCGTCTCTCATAATCATATGGTGGTTTGGGGACGTTAAACCCCACATATTTATCAATCAATAGCGGAGTTTGACGCGTTTGATTATCGAAATCGCTACGATCACTCATTTTGCTTTCTCCTGCGCTTCCCTTCTTAGTATCCTCTCCCAAGCCGCTTTGCCTTTTCGCCGAGCACCCCTCCCTATCTCGCGTGGCATACATCATCGCTGATGCCCTGCTTGAAACACTGTCTACTACCGGTTGCCGCAACTCCAGCCGTCAATTCTGTCAATTGCGTTGTAGCTGCGTGCTTGTTGGCAAACCGTGGCTACCGTAATCATGCCGGTATGAACCCTGCGTTGCGCGCACGCCTTCAACGCGGGTGCACGCTCGCGAACAACACGATGCAACGTGGACGGCTGCTTGTAGACTGACCAGAGGTCGTAGGCTTTTGCTGGACCAATCAGCATATTTGGCTCGGTGGGTCAGAGAAATGGCACGGCGCGTCACGTGGAGTCCCGCAATGCCCGGAAAAAAGGAGGCATTGTTTGTGGAAAATCGTGGCGCGCCGGCGGCTCGTAGCACTGCCACTTGTAGAATTGTTGATCGCGACGGCATTCTGCACGCGATGCGCGTGTTTACTTGAAATGTTTGAAAAAATGTTGAGGGTGGTTTACGGGCCCTTTAATTTTTAATAATCAATAAAAATAAGCGGATAGAGTACCGAAATGTCTCCTTGCTTTCACATTTTGTAAACGCTGTCAAACTTTCAATTATAGGTGTGCACAAAGTTCTTTATCAAATAGGTGGTTGAACCGAAATCTCCCCCCCCCCTCGCTTGTGTGCAGATAGAAAGGGGGCGTAATGAAAACAAAATAAATGGAAATACAGCGAATGCGTGCTGTATTCTTCCCATTACCGGTCCATCGTCGCCATTACTGTTGAAAAAACGCGTAGCCATAGCCTTGCGTAGTAGAAACATGAAGGGAAAAGACTGCTTTAGTAAACGCAAGGGGCAGAAGCGGCGCCCCCTTCAGATGATTAGAAGGGTGGGAGCCTGAGCTCCCGCCTCTCCCGTCCAACTGCGTGGGTACTACGGGCATTTTTTCAACTTTATACTTACAATGTAGGCTCCGGAAAGGACAGAGTTGTTTCACACTCTTGATTGCACCGAGGTATAAAATGCACCAAGTGACACGTTTGAAAACAAAAAATAAAGAAACAAAAAGATAAAAATGGCAGCATATCCACGGAGTGAATGGTGGAGAGTGTGGGGCGAAGCATTCGTCCGTCCATGCGTCCGTCTGTGTGACCATCCATGCGTCTCTTCGTGCGCCCGTCCCTGCGTTCGTTCATGCATCCGCCCCTGCGTCCGTTCATGCATCCATCCATGCATCTGTCTGTGTGTCCGTTCGTCCATCTATTCAACACTCCAAGTCCCACCATCTCGCATCTTTTTATCATATATTCCCCATACAGAAGCACCGCCATTCAGTGGACATTCCAAGGACTAAACGAGAGGTGGCACACGCACACTTTCTTACGGCTTGCACTTCGGGTCTACTTCCCACCTTCAACCACCTTGAGTTCATGGTATATATACTAGTTCACTGTATTCAAGGCACTGCGGCCCAATGCTCGCTAAACCTTTCTAAAACCAATGAGGTTACGCCCAGCGAGTATAACGTAGCAACCTTTTCCTGTCAGATAGTGCTCAATGTACATGCCAGTGGCTGCTAATGTGAAATGAGAGACAGGAGGATTCAGCTTTTAATTTCTTACGGCTTGCGCTTCGTATCTGCTTCCCCCCTTTAACCACCTCGAATTAATTCATGGTATATACTAGTTCATTGTATTCATGGCCCTGCGGCTCAACGCTCGCTAAACCTTTCTAAAACTAAGGAGGTTACACCCAGCGAGTATAATGTAGCAACCCTTTCTTGTCCGATAGTGCTCAATGTACATGCCAATGGCTGCTAATGGGGATCGCAGCATGCGCGTTGACTAAAAGCCGAATGCTCCTGTCTCTCATTCCCCATTAGCAGCCATTGGCATGTACATTGAACACTATTTTTTATTGTTAAACAACGCACAGAAGAAATCTCTCACCGGCACCACCTTGGAGGTTAAATGTTATACCTATTTCGGGTTTGTGCCACTGGTGGTTACGTACTACGAGGGACACCCAAGCCACGCCATAAGGAGCTTCGCCCCTAAAATTCTCACTCACGCAATAGCCTAGTTAAGGTGCCATTCCCGTGTACTCAATACATTGAACATCCACGTGATTATTGTTTGCTTTAGTAGTTGTAGTGTACCTACTGAAAACATGCAGATTTTTTGTTTTCTTTTCAGATTGTCAGCCCATGTACGGTAAGCATTGGCTGCCTGGTAGGCTGTATCGATTGACAAGCATAATACCTCATGAAGAGGAAGGTCTGCACAGATGGATAGGCGTTGCCGACGAGACACCAAATGAAGTTCTTCCCAAACCGGACGATCCGGAGAAGCTCTCCCACAGCCGTCGGCTCGATGGTCAGGTAACTGTGCCCCAGTATGACCCAGCTCGCACTGAGGAATCGCAGCCCATGCAGGAACCGCAGACGCCAGGCATCCGTACCACGTTCGGCATGTACGTTTAAAAGTTTCTCTGTGTTGGCCACCGCGCTAAACGACAGCACCACTTTGAAGAAGGCACCTGCGCGCAGAGCACGTGCAACAAGCAACTCTTAAACATACATAGCACATGTTAGTATTGGCTCACTGAAAGGGTGGCTGAAAGCCGAGATTTCATTGCAATCCAGAAATTTCAGATTCCTTGAAGTAGCCGTTAAATAGATGGTAGCTACGCATTTGCAAAAAAAACACACAAACCGAAACAAAGGAAAAAAAATTAAACGAGCACTTCACGCCAAGATACTGTTTTAATAGTTTCTAGAAACTGGAGACGGCACCAAGCATGGTTCATGCAAGCAGACCGAAAGGAAGGAAGCCATACCAGCAGCCAAAAACAACACAAAATAGTTATTATCTGGGGTCCCAAAACCACGATATGATCATGAAACGAGTTGTAGTGAAAGGCTCCGGAAATTTTGATCATCTGGTGTTCCTTAACGTCCACTGACAAGGCCACCATTTTGCCTCCATCGAAACGCGACCGCCGCGGACAAAATCGAACCCACGACCTTCGGGTCCGCAGTGGAACACACCGACTGCACACGACCGTGGCGGACGACAGTAATAAACGAAGAAAATTTACACCGTTGGTGGCCTTAATTCAACGTAACGCGACGCGTTTACTGAGCGATAAATGCGCGAAATTCACCGTAACGTCCCGCCCAGCGGAAGATACGTCTGGAGCTTTGTGATCACAAATGCAGTCGAGGCATCATGCAGTGTAATCAACAATCTGGTTCGCTGTTAAAGATAACACACCAGCTGGTTTCCGCAATCGATCATCAGTGATACAGTCACAAACTTTCTAAGGTATATTCAATTGAGTATATCAGTTGTTTTTATGGATAAAAGCGTAAGATTCATTTTTCTTTGTTATAGTCATAGCTAACTTTTAAAAACCTTTAGCAGTAGTCTGGATTTGGTATTTTATTTTCACTTGATTCTGGTTCTTACCCGCTGTTGACGTTGAACGTCAGGGTTATCACGCGGCTAACGATCAACTCAACTATCTTGGATACCCGGTAGCGATGTTAGCGTTGCGATGAAGGAGAAATTAAAAAAAAAAACTCTCGTGTGCTCAGATTTAGGTCAACGTAACTTAAAGAAAAACAAGAAGGAAAGAAGTGTACACTTATGCGCTCGTTCGTCGTTCTTTTACACAATAATAATGAGATCTAACAGACAATCATGCCAAGAAAAGTATAGGGTATGTTATCTGGGGCAATTGTAATGTAAATTTGAAAAAAGAAAAGTGGATGAAAAGATAGTTTGCTGTGAGCAGAGACCGAACATGCAGCCTTTGATTAACGCGTTTCATACTCCACCAACAGATCTACCACTGGGACTATACCGCCCTCCACTTTATTGGGCATATATTTGAATTAAATATGGGAGCGTAAGCCAGCGCTGCCCGTAGCTATGACGTTGAGTCTACAACACTTTTTCTGCCTGCTTTGGCGTCATGTTATCTTTCCAACTACTTTTTTTTCTACAAATTTACATTACAATTACCACATACCACATCCCGTCTACTTTTCTTGGCATGGTTGTCTGTTAGATCTAATTAATATTGTATATAACAAGGACAACCGAGCTCAAGCTGTACACTGCTTTCCTTCATTCATAGCGAGGGTATCGTTCTGGCAGACTTAGTGTCTTCAGGTAGTAGACGAAGGATTAGTGGTCAGCTGCCACATTGTAATAGCATCACGTGCTACGTGACGCCAAAAAAGGCAGAAAAAGTGTTCCACACTTGCCATGATTGCTACAGGCGGCGCTGACTGACGCTCCCACACTTAACTCACATATATAGCCAATAAAGTGTATGGGGTGATAGCCACTGCGGTAGCTCAGTTGGTAGATCATCGGGTGCGTTATTCGAAGGTCGCAGGTTCGGTACCTACCCACGGATTATTATTTTTTCATCAACTTTTCTTTCTTCTAGTTTACATTACAATTACCACATCTCACAATCCCTATACATTCCTTGCCATGGTTGTCTGTTATATCTTATTATTAACGTGTATAACAAAGAAAATCAGGGGCACGTTTGCTTGGTAAAAAATTAATTTGGAATGCCACACTACGGCGCGCCTCATGATTCGAGCATGTTTTTTTTTTTACGTGCAACCTTAGAAGGAAGGAAGGAAGCAACAAAAAGGGAGAAGGCAGGGAGGTTAACCAGAAAGAGATCCGGTTGGCTACCCTACACTGGGGGATAAAGGAAGGGGACAAGAAAGACGAGAAAAAGGGAAGAGAGGGAAAAAAGGGGGTGGGGGAGAGACTGACAGTAATTTCACTGCAGCGTGTAGAAATCTACCGCATGTCAGAGGCGTTCACACAAGCCTGTCTTTCTCAGGAAACGCAGCAGGGCTTTCACTGCCTTGTGGGCTGTCGAGGCATGTGTACGTTGCTGTAATAGCACCTGCAGAGAAAGAGGCCGATCATCCAGTCGCCGCATTGCGTTGGCAAGTACTTGTCTCTCTGAGGCAAATCGAGGACAATGACACAGCAGGTGTTCGATATTTTCGTCGGTGCCGCAAACATCGCACGCCGCACTGTCAGTAATTCTGATTAACGTGGTATAAGCTTTCGTGAAAGCAACTCCCAGCCAAAGGCGATAGAGAAGCGAAGCTTCACGTCGATGTAAGCCGGGTGGAGGCCGGAGTTGTAGTGATGGTTCGAGCTCGTGCAGTCGTGTACGTCGTATGCTTGGTGTGTTCCACTCGGTCAGTGTGAGACTGCGGGCCAGTTGACGAATCTGCCTCGCCGCATCCGCTCTTGAAAGCGGTATCGGAACACTGTTCCCTTCTTTATGTGACGTGCGAGCAGCATGATCTGCAGAATCATTGCCGCCTATACCACTATGCCCAGGTAACCACTGAAAGACGATGTCATGGCCTTTTTGTATTAACAGGTGGTGTAGTTTCACGGTTTGGTAGGTCAACTGGTCGTGGCATCCGCGTCGGAGAACTGATATCAGGCACTGTAACGCTGGTTTTGAGTCAGAAAACACAGCCCATTTACCTGGTCTTTCTTCTGAATTGATGTGTTCCAGTGCATTGCGCAGAGCCTCGAGTTCTGCCGTCGTCGAACTCGTCACATGTGAAGTCTTAAAACACCGAGTTATCCCTTGTGATGGTATAACCACTGCTCCACCTGAACTAGACGGCGTAGTAGAGCCATCCGTGTAAATGTGCACGTGGTTACCGTAGTTTTCTTCCAGTAGGGATAGACTCAGTTGTTTCAGGGCATGTGTCGGTAAGTCCGATTTTCTCCTCATTCCTGGAATCATTAAGTGAACTCGCGGCCGGCTCAAGCTCCAAGGAGGAAGCAGTGGCTTTGATGCAGGTGCGTATGTCTCAGCAAACGATGAACGATGCTTGGAGACAATAGTGCCGTATGTCGTGCGGGGCCTTTCAGCAGCTAGACTCGCCAGGTGGTGAGAAGGGGTCCTGGCATAATGCCTGAGGTGCATGCGCATTGTCTCGGTAATAATATGCGTATTTATCGAGTGATCTTGAGCGATGGCAATGGTTTCAGCCGTTGAAGCACTGCGGGGTATTCCAAGGCATATCTTAAGTGCTTGGGCTTGAATGCTCTGAATTGCGCGCAGGTTGGTCTTGCCGGTGTTAGACATTGCAGGTAAGCTGTACCGTAAGAATCCGATAAACAGCACCCTGTAAAGTTGTAGCATGGATGATATAGGCACTCCCCAATTTTTTCCTGCAAGGAATTTGAGCATGTGGCATGTTGCGATCAGCCGCTTCTTCACATAGTTCACGTGTGGAGTCCACGACAGGTTTCTATCTATTATGACTCCCAAGAACCTGTGGCTTCTGCTGAACGATATGTATTCTTCATTAATCGATATACTGTAAGCAGACATTGGTTTCCGCGTGAACGCTACCACTGCACACTTTCCGCAGGACACCTCGAGGCCTTGTTTACGAAGATAGCATGACGCCGTTGTAGCAGCCTTCTGAAGGCGGGCGCGAAGCTGAGGCCTTGTCACACCTGATGTCCAAATGCAGATGTCATCAGCATAGACAGAAAGTTCTACAGTGCTAGGTAGCTGCTCGACTAGACCAATGAGAGTTAGGTTGAAAAGGGTAGGGCTTAGCACTCCTCCCTGAGGAACTCCTCGGCTGCTGTAATAATCAGGTGTTGGGCCATCCGCTGTCATCACGTAAAATGATCTCAGCTGTAAGTAGCTGTACACCCACATATATATCTTGCCACCAAGACCTACTGTTTCCAAAGCACTAAGGATGGCTTCATTGGTGACATTGTCGTAAGCCCCCTTAACGTCTAGAAACAGGGCGGCGCACAGTCTCTTACAGGCTTTCTGGTGTTGAACATATGTCACCAGATCAACAACGTTGTCGATTGACGAATGGCCGCGCCTGAATCCGGTCATGGATGCTGGATAGATTTCGTAGTGCTCTAAATACCACTCCATTCGTGTTAGAATCATTCGTTCCATCGTTTTTCCCACACAACTGGCAAGTGCGATAGGACGGTATGAGGCAATATCCAAAGGAGATTTACCAGCCTTTAGAAGTGGAATGAGGCGACTTGACTTCCATGCCTGGGGAACAGTACCAGTCTGCCAGGAGTCGTTGTATAGGCGTAAGAGTGCCTTCCGAGCTTCGTCTCCAAGATTACAAAGGGCACGATAGGTAATGCCGTCAGGACCGGGTGCTGAAGAACGTCTGCACAGAGCCAGTGCCGCCTCTAGCTCATCCATAGAAAACTGGCATTCCATACGGGGATCACGTGAGGGCGGTGGGTTGTCAAAAGTTCCCGTTCTTGATACTGTGAAATTGGAATCACCGGCAATTCTTCTACAGAAAGATTCTGCGACGTCAATCTCTCTGCATCGAAGGTGAAGTGCCAGAGATGTAAACGGGTGTCGCTGACCCAAGGTTGTGCTAAGACCCCGGACAGTTCGCCATATCAGTGATAGGGGCTTTCGTGGATCCAACGACTCGCAAAAGGATGTCCAACGTCGCCTAGCCAGTTTATCCATGTGACGCTGCATTTTCTTTTGAATGCGTCTAGCCAGCCTCAAATCATCCATGCACTTTGTCCGTCGGTACCTTCGTTCTGCACGACGGCGTATTGCGCGAAGTTTCTCAAGCTCAATGTCGAAATCGGTGCGCTTGTGACTAGTCAAATGTGTATGCGTGGTATTCTGCAGGACATCCTTTATCGAGTCCTCTAGGTTATATGATGAGCCGTCGGTACAGCAGTCTTCCATTAACATTTTGAATTTCGGCCAATCGGTGTACTTGAGGCCTCTTGAGGACTTGGAGCTGGTGAAACCTTCTATACACAGGTAAGTTGGTGTATGGTCGCTGCCCCGCGTTTCCAGATCCGAAAACCAGTGCACTTTCCTGATAAGTGAGCGAGAAACCAATGTAAGGTCCAGGCAGCTGCTATAGGCTGATCCGCGTAAATATGTAGGGCTTCCATCGTTACAAACGCAGAGTTCGTACTCCGAGGCTAAGGACACCAATTTTCTTCCTCTAGAGTTGTCCCTGGAGCTTCCCCATAGGAAATGGTGGGCATTGAAGTCGCCAGTGATCACCCATGGCCTTGGAGTCGATGTCAGAATACCGCGTAAGCGCTCGCAGTCAAGGCGGCTTGATGGAGATAAGTAAGCTCCGATAATCGTGAAAGCAACCTTATCCTTCTTCACAGTAAGGCACACATACTGATTCCCTTCATCAGGCGAGACTCTGTGGTGAACGTAAGTGAGGTCATGGCGCATGAATACAATAACTTTGCTGCAGTCTCTGTGAGTGGAGGACATAAAGCACTCATATCCTGACAGCTTGATTGAAGCACATAGGTTGGGTTCACAAATCACAATAATGGGGAAGCGGTTCACAAATACAAATTGTCTAAAGTCAGACATGCGCGACTTCAGTCCTCTGGCGTTCCACTGAAAGACAGATGCATTCTTGACTTCCGCTCGAAACGATGGTGCCTCGCTGGCCATGGTTCTACCTTAGAGCTGCAAGCACCGGACTCAGGGTGTCCAGCACATGCAGTGCGGTCTGCGCAGCAGAAGTCTTCATATTACTCAGTAGGACACGCATGGTACTCATCAGCGATTGCAGCAAGCTTATCACTTGATCTTCATTCATCGCATCACTGGTTTGAGGGGTCGTCGAGGGCGGCGGGATTTGATGCAGCTCCGAAGTAGGTTGACGTCGTGGAAGAGAGGGCCACTGTTCGGAAGGCGCGACTGCTGTCCCTTTCTTCTGTTTGGCAGTATCCGTCTCCAGTGAGCTCGGTGTTCGTGAGTCAGCCTCTTTGATAGAGGATGACATCTCTCTATCGGTAGAGGCGTTTTTCCGTGATGGTCTTCGCCCACGACGCCGTCGTCGGCGTAGTGTAGCGGCAGCTTCCTTGTGTGTTGAATTGTCACGCACCATACGCCTGAGTACCGCGTGCTCGTTTCGCACCCGCGGGCAATCTTTGGATGAGGCCTCATGAGCGCCGTGGCAGTTTGGACATCGTAGTATGGTGGCACTGCAGGCGTCTTTTGAGTGAGACTCAGCGCACCGCGGACACACAAGTTTGTTCTCACAGACACCTTTTACGTGTCCCATCTTGAAGCACTTGTAGCATTGCAGTGGCTTCGGTATGTAAGGACGCACTGAGTGGCGAACATGGCCAACTTTGACATACGAGGGAAGGCTGTCTCCCTCGAACACAAGCCTCAAGCAGCGTGAGTTGCCGAGTCTGGTAATGTGCGTAATGCGGGTGCCTTCAGTCGCTGGCTTTATTAGTATTGGCAGGTCATTAGCTGAGATGGAAAGATCCACATCATAAATGACGCCAACAGTGCCATTACAACCTGTAGCGACCATTGGCCGAACTTTCACGTTGCCGATTTCTGTTATGTGCCGAAGGCTTTGCAGTGCGCTTTGGTGCATAACGTCTACAGCAAGGACATTCTTTCGTGCATTGATCCTCACGTCTTTGATCTCATTCGGTGCGGTTTCCTCGAGAAGCACAGAAAGAACTTGCCTGTTGAGGAGTCGCAAGTTAGATGCAGGGTCTTCAGGCATAAACAGCATGGTGTGCGGCCACCGCTGTGGTGCAGTCTTAACGGTGGAAACACTTGCCGACGATGCCGTTCGCAGCAGTCTTCGTTTTGTAGATCGATTCATGACGACCGTGAAGTCATCATCCGATGACTCAAAGCCATCCGAATACAAATCGGTTGCCTCACTGTCGGTGTCGCTGGACGCGTTGCTACGCTTCCTGGATGACGAAGTCCGGCGCGACGGTTGCACGCCTGGAACATTCTCAGGTGTGCCCTGAAGCATCACCGCAAAGGAGGGAGCGGCAGCTCCCAGGATTTCCAGGAAAACAAATTGAAAACACTGAGACACGGGCACAAGCGTTCTGTGAGAGAATCACTTCGTCGTCGTCCTCGGTTTTCATTCTGCAACCTTAGAATTTGAAATAATTTTTTTTGCAACCTTAGAATTTGAAATAAAACCAATATACTACGATTGTTATCATCAACCACCCGCGATTCACACATGCTGGTGAAAAATGTTGCCTATATTCATGTGAAGCCCAGATAGCTTGACAACTTTTAGAGAGAATAGTGCTGTTATATCTGCCGTGGTGACTCGCAGGAAAAACGGAGTGTGTAAGAGGGCGAATCTAGGGAAGTATTGACTTCCAAGCACTCTTAACTTTTTTTCTTTTTTTACGGAGGATCTCACGCACAGCAGCTTGGAATCCTGGTGCAGACACAAGCAAGGTGTGTAAATACGTAAGGATGAAAAGTGAGACAGTAAAAAATCATTAAGAGTTCTTGTAGTACACGCGATGCGTGCAAAGAAGGTGGTGAGACATACCCTACTTAACGACTGTACTTGAAAATCACTTGCGTAGAACTGGTAATTTTTCAATTACCTAGTAACATGTTCACTAAAATTGTAACTTTAAAAAAGTGTTCTTTCTTCACTGCTCTGGCAAAAAGAAAAAAGGAAAGTTTTCAAATTTCCATGATTAAGCCACGAGTCATGCTGTTGCTCGTCAAATAGCGTGCTTTCATCTACAGCTTTTTTTTTTATCACGAGGAAACAAGGAAGGCCTGTATCATGAACTCACCAATGTTGTTGAGGTCATGTCCGGCTTCTTTGCCGTATTTGCGCAGGTAGATATCCGTGAGCGAACCGACGATTACGAAAGATATACACGAGGCCATGAAGTACCTGCGCATACGCACAAAGCAAAAGAAAGGTCAAGACGATGGATGGCTACCCTTCGCATCGCACTTTTCGCCGTGGCGCGAAGGTTTTCTTCTTTCTTTGCACAAACTGCACAGGCAATAGCAAAATAAATGCTCCAAGACTTACATGAGGGCTTTCTCCGTGGTGTTGAGGGGTGTCTTTTCCTTAATCACGCATCCTTTAACGGTGGCGTCAAAGCCGTGTTGGCTAACCACTGCAGTGTAGGCGGGAAAAGAGTGGCATTCATTATTAGCGCATGAACAGGAAACTGTGCTTCCTTGTGTGCAAACGCAAAGGCCATGCCTGGAAGCATAGCGCCGTTACCTACAAAACATCTCACGCAAATGCGGCGCACAGGTGGTTTCCTGAAGTAGTTTCACCCGTCAGCTAAACGTGAAGGCATTTGACGTGATGCACGACTAGAAAAAATCCATTACCTACCATGTTCGAGAGATTGCGAGAAAAGAAAGCGGAAAAATGAACTGAAATACAACCGTGCGCTCTGGGTTTATATAACTGACATCGCGTAATTTTTTCTTACGTGCCATCGCGAACAGGAGATTCCGCGACTGCATTGTCATGAGCTGTAAAAAATTGCTCGTATTTTTTGCATTCACAGCGTAGAATGTATATCACTGTCAGACACAGAAAGGATTATCAAGTCTCTGGGGATGCAGTGAATTATTCAATATCTGTGGTATTTTCTTCGTGACAAGTATTCAACTATTTGACTACGTGCATTTGTTGGCTGATTCTAGTTACTATACAATGAAATGTTTCATTATTGTGGAGCATGCTTTTGTGGATGTCGATAGAACTCTGCTCAACGCAAAAAAAAACACACCTAGCATAATGATTTAGTGTTTACAATTCAGTGTTTCTTGATAAGTCCACAGATGTTAAGCGGTATTTCCAAAGCAGCTGTTATATTTCTTTACACTGATTTAGCATGTTGTTTTCATCAGACTCCGAGCCTTGGCACCTTTTGAACGCGTGAGACATTACGGCTGAACCTACGCTGATTTCTTCCGGGTCAGTGCTCCCAGAGACGCGGCAAGATTGGCGACAGCACGAAATTCATTCCTCGAATTATCTAGGGGCATCGGCAACCCTCGTAAAACCCTTTGGACGCGCCTGAGAGATTGACAAATTAGGAAGAGCTGTTGGCCATCGAGGAGGCTTGCTTTGTGCGCCAAGGTGCTCGGGATAATGGGCCAAGCGTCTGAGATCCGTGTTACTGTGCATTTCCCACACTCTCCGTGGTGCATTCATGCCACCGTTTCCACAAACCGTGATCTGCCTGGTGCCGCACACTCATCACTGCAACGGACTGCAGAGTTGATGTACACGTAGGACCCAACGTCTACGCGCTGTGCGGTCTTGTGCACGTTGTGCAGTGTTTTCTCTCTCGCCATGGGACGAATTGAGCATGCATCTTCCCTCTTTTCTGGTTGAGACCGGTGCTTCACCTTAGGGGTGGAGGTGAATATGCAATTTTCATTTTACTGTCCTGGCTTACATTGTTTTTCCCTGCAGGGAATCCTGGCAAGATCAGGGCATAAAACACGAGCAACCGGACGCTCCCGACAAGCTCCCAAAAGCTCCCATCAAGCTTCCATCGAGAGCTCTCATGATGTTACCACCATAATGTTGCAAGGCTACCATTGAAATGTAAGTAATGTAATTAAAAGTTACTGTTAACAGCTCCCGGCTTTTCTCATAGACATCTCCCAGAGACATTGGCTGGCTCAGGTCCTCTGGGCAGACCCCAGACTACATCGATGTACAGATACAGGTTACGAGAAAGACAGGAAGCGCCATTGCTGTACTTTTGATGACACCCCAAAGCAATTTCGTCTTGTCTCAGCCTTCTTCACATGTTTTTAAGCCAATGCTTGAGTTACAATAATTCTTGCATGGCTCAGTGGCAAGAATCATTTGCTTCAACTATAGTGCTCTTGAATCGATTATATTTTCATGAGGATCACGAATACACGGAAGACAGGAGCGAGTGTATTTTACAATATTTGTTAGTAGCTGTGTCACCGAAAGGTAGCCAGCATCTCATGTGGGGAGTCAGCTTTTTTCATTCATTCATCTGCAATGATGGGCTGATGCCCACTGCGTCGTAACAACATCAAACAATCCTGTCCCTCGTTATGTCTCGTCAGTATACGTCTACCATTGAGCACACGCAGACAAGGAGCCTTCGACGTTTTTTACAAACACTCTGCGTAAAACCTGAAATTCGTGGTCGCAGTTTCGAACCTGTGTAGTTTTATAGCATCATGAACAATGTTGTTGATATTCAGTAGTCACTGACCTGCAATGTTACATCTTGTTTTTATTCACCTACCATTTGTCTTCCCAAGAAACATAGACCAAAAAAACATTGTCTCGTCAATGACTGCATAAGAACAAAAGTTAGTGGCCTGAGTAAGACGACTCAAGAATGAGAATGCTGGCCCATATCCGATGCGCCCGTCTACAAAGCTAAGTTTGTCTCAACTAGTTACATTATAGAAAACGCGGAACTTGTGTTTTGCACCAAATAGTGTGCTGGATAGAGCTTAAGGTATCCACCATTTCTTTCAATGCTAAATTCCAGAGCCAGATTCAGCTTATCGAGCAGCTCACCACGGGCAAATATCCGCAGTATAGCCTGCGTGGCTGTCTATGAATTTCGCTTATGCTTATGCATGTCGTATGCCAAGCACTAGTCAACTGAATTGCCACGTGAAAGTAGAACCTTCTGAAACAGTTCTCATGACTGTCGTTTCAGAAGACTGGCGAAAATTAAAGAGTTTGCGAAATAAAAAGCCACTGCTAGACACTAAAGCGTAGTTGTATTAACGTAACAAATTGCACGTGGAAATCATATTCTCGTATATAACATTAGCGCCTCAGGCACAAGTGCTTTTCTCCTCGTCATCATTCATGCTGTAAGAATTTATAGTCCAACAGGCATGGTTTTTACAGTAGGCTTACTTTACTGCCTTATTAAGCGAACAGGCAATGCAGTACTCTCTAGAAATTTTCATTTTTAAGTTCTTACTCGAGGGTATTAACGGCGCCCCATTTAGGTTACCACCCCACACAAAAAAAAACAGCTTGCAGACAAAATTTTCAAAATACATTGCTCGGTGGCTAGTAGCCACAATGCAAGAAAATTGGTACATTTACTTACGCGATTTGATCAAGAACTGGAACTCGCGGGCCGAACAGGCTGATGGAAAACAAACTCCTAGGCGAAGGCCGTGCGCCATGTCGTTGTACATGAACCTGAAGAAATCGAGCTTTGCCTGTAAATAAAATAGAAATAAAATAAAAATCTGCTTGATCACATAAAAAATAACCCGCAAATTATAGTGAACTATCGCCTTTTTTCCTGAATTGTGAAAGGTGAAATGAAGCGTTGATTCAAGTAACGTGTGTCCCATTGAGTCCAAAATGGTAATTTTAAGAATCATAGAGGTCTACACTGCATCAAAAGAAAATATATGCGTACAATTAGTATAGCAAAACACGGAGCGCGCTGTGCGGTTGTATATCCGGATCAGAGAAAGACTCGAGAAACGTCAGAACTGTGCGTACACTCGGCTTGTTGATCGAAATGTGAGTGTTACGTCGATGCTCACTACTTGTGTTGACTAGTGTTGCATGGTTATCAAACATCCTCAGTGAACCGCCTAATTGAGAACGTTCCTATGAGAATTACTTGTTGCAGGAGTATGAATGTGCTTCATTACATGCGAACGTTGCACTTATATGCACCTTTCGGTAATTTCGAAACATGTGCTAGCATTTTTCGCTGGCTCTACCGGAAACGACAGGTAATATTTAGGGACATTTGGTGCCAGCCATTCCACAGCACGGGGAAGCGTTGTAACACTTCCTTTAGTAGCATCAATCTAAAAATTTTCTCCCGTGTAAGTGTAAAGATTTTGACTTGCTCTGACGGGCACTTGACAGAAATCTTTGAAGAGTTATTCCGTTGAGGTCCCTCTGAGATGTATGTCGCGAAACATTTCAGCCGATTGAACACGTCCTTCAATAATGCCTGCATTATATGGTAAGCAGTTATTTTAGAACATTCTTTACTTTGAAGAAATTCTGAATTGACGGTGGCACACGCACAACTAGTATAAGGAGGCCGGAAAGGAAACAATGGTGAGAGAAGGCATAAACGGTGTCGTGATTGTCGCCTCTCGTCATCTCATGTTATTTTCTTCAAGTTCAATCTGGTGAACCACCAGGCTAAGTGAACTCGCTGCTGGGTTTTGGCTGGTAATTTCAAAAAGACATTCACAACACAAGTAAAAAAACATGACTGATCTCTCTTTCTAGAAATCGGTTACACACCAAAATAAAATGTGTTTTGGCAAAGGCAGTTGAGCGTTTGTTGTGCCTTGTTTCTTCACAAAGGTGAGAAAATGAATGTGACAGCCAGAAATTGCAATATCACGCTAATAATGGCTAGCAGCTCAAAACTTTTAGCACGCACCTCAAGTAGGAAGCACGCATGAAATGAGTATACACAGGCCAAGCGCAAAGAACTGTCACACTTTTTACGTGTTTGTCTGTGAGCAGTGCGCTCTTTTCGCAAACGTGGCCGCGGCAGCGAGCGAAGTGACCTTCATGCTTTCTTTAACCGCTCTTTCTTTTTTTTTTCAACCTTCTATTTACCAACCCCAGTGCAGGGTAGCATAGCAGATACCAGCATCTGGTTAACCTTCCTGCCTTCCTTTTTTCTCGTTTAAAATAAAATAAACAAGCGGTAGACGCACAAGACCTACGAAGCGCCGCTATGAGGAGCTAAGAGAGCCAGCAGGAATGACTACAACCTGTCGAGGCGCGCGCGCATCACAACCCGCGGGGCAACGACCTTCAGAGCGCGCCCAACGTGCGCCCTTCAAGCCATCTCGCTACTGATGGCAAAAACTTGCTAAAGTTGCTGAGCTATGAAGACCAGCCATGGTATAGCGTACATATAAATAGCTCGTCATTAGCAAGCCGGAAAACGTACGGTTATGCGGCTTAGTTGTTTGGCGCCGTGCGCTGCGGAGCGAGAGGT